TAACACTTTTGTTAAAGAATGTCTTTTATTGTTCAATACTAACCTATGAATTATAACCAATATTAGTAACATTAACCAATAATTACAGTAACCAACTAAGGAAAAATTCCAGAGTTAGGGTTTCTCATATTGCCCATAAATCTGGAGGGGAAAAGCATCCATTTCTACAGTGCTATAATGCATCTACCACTCCTCTGGCCCTTTCGCCACCACTGGAGTCTAACAAGCACAGGATTTCCAGTGAGTGTGATCCAGACTTACACTCTGAATCCTCTAGTTTACAGTTATTGGTATCTTCTCTGCTTGCTGGGCTTTCATTTGTCACAATAAACCTTCTAAAAAATTTAGCGAGAAAACCTTTACTACTTTTCTTTCTGTCATCTCTCAAATATAAAAGTTACCTTATTTGCTTATCTTGAAAATAAATATATGCCAAACACACAAGAACTGTTTTTTATCTTGTGAAATCAGCATGGTATTAGAATATGCTACACAATGTTGTATGCTAATCCATCTACAATAGCCTGAATATGTAAGATTATTATTTGAATATGTTGTCATCATATTTTGAAAAGAAATATGGAGAAATTAATGGGTAATGAGCATGAAAAAGAATTTGAAGTATAGAAATCAGGTCCAAGAAAGAAAATGTTAAAGAAGTTTTCATCCCTCAACACAGAAGGTGGTCAAAAAAAAAAATTCTCTGTCTTTTGGGTGATTACCACAGGTATGGGTCACTGTGTGGGGGGTACCCTCAGAATTAGAGTTGATGATCATTTTGCTGGCCTTAGTGATTCACCATCCCAATTAGAACAATGAGCCCTTTCAGAGATATTATTGTTATGTGACTACCATGTTTTCTTCCAAAAATATTATCTCATTTCGCAATAAAAGAAAAATACATAAAAAGAAAAAAGAAAGAAAAGTTTAATCATTAACATCAAGTGAGGGGAGAAAATAAAGAAACAAATGTATACAAAAATACAGAACAATACTTGAAGTCAATGCATATTTGGGCTTCCCTCCTTGAGAAGGGTTTCAACAGAGTGGTACCCTTCATGGCAGCAAAGGGAATATTTCACTTTGGCCCGACGCTAAGTTGCAGTTGGAAGCGGATTGGAAGCAGAGGGGTTAGCGTTTGCATCTTTGATGTGTGAGTTCCAAGACCTAACTTGTTAGATGAATACGTGCCAATGACACGGAAGCCAAGTAAATCGTTTATCGCAGGCTCAGTGTATAGATTCACTCAAAGCAAGACACAATGCCACTGCCCCCCAATATTAGGAATTAAAAATTAAAATAGAATTAAAAGTGGAATCTCCTGAGAGCCATAAATTAAATTACCTGTAATGTTACACAGTTTCTATGATCGCATAGGTCACCACTGCTCTTTACATCATAAGCATTAAAACTGAAACGAACACCTTCAGGTTCCAGTTTATGTTCTATTTCCCACATACCATATTAGTTTAATTAAAAAATTTTTAATTTGACTGGGTAAAAAGAAGCAAAAGAAAATATACACCCACTAAATTACATACCTTATTTTCAAATCCTAAGAATATTCTAGTGATTGGGTCTCTGGGTATATTCATATTAGAAAAACTAACACATTTCTGAGGAATGCTGATAATGGCTTAAATAAAAGATAACGGTGAACAAGAAGCAGGAGGAACAAGCATTACAGTATCTGAAAAATAAGTATTTTAGCTTTTCCTTTCCGTCTATGAATCCGTTTTCAGAAATGCAGTGAAGAATGTCACTTTGTGATCTTTTACCTTGCTGGAAAACTCTGAAGTCGGTTATAGGCCATGTGAAGAATCTTCAGATGGGGGTGTCCTGTTAACAACGGCACGCACTTATCTGTGAGGTTGTTATTTGTCAAATACAATTCCTGTAAGATGCTGTTTGTCTCTTCAGAAAGTGTGGCAGGAGGAAGGGTTTCCAGTTTGTTTGCAGATGCATTCAGGAATCTCAGGCTATAATGACAAAATGCAACAAAATCCCGCTGATAAGCCAGAGAGCTCTAGTCCAGAATCCTCAGCACACCTAGAAGCTTTCTGATTGATATCAGGCATATTGGAAACGGTTTAGAAACATGAATTTGAAGACAGGTCCTGGCTTTGGCAGGCAGATGGATATGTGACTCCACTATCTACAATGAACACAATAGCCATCTATGTGTGTTAATTACAAAGAGACAGAAATCAATTTTTATGGCAGTACAAAGGTGAGAGGAAGAGATTAATTTTATAGCTGGTGGGGAGTGAAAGGGAGAATGATAAGGTAAAGTTAATATTCTGTCTTATGAAAAACAACCGCCTATTTTTAAATAAAAGAGCTCTTATGATAATAAAATAACTAGATATTAGATCACAATACAACTAAATCACATAGTACCTAAGTCTTTTTCAGTACGATGGCCAAACTACATTTCACTGAGGTATATTCACAACTGCAGGAGATAGTTGTTCTGTAGTAAACTAATATAATACTATGTAGCAGCGAACATGAGCCACAAGTACATGTATCAACAGAATGAATCTCACAGAGTTAATATTGAGTGAAAGAAGGCATATCCCAGAGGATACATTGCATAATTCTGTAATTGTACAGTTCAAACATCAGGCAAAACTAATCTATGGTATTAGAAGTCAGGGAAGGGAAGCAGTGTCTAGGAGACAGCTTCTAATTTTTCTAATACAATAATGTTCTGGTTCTTGACATGTGTACTGGTCTCATGAGTGTGTTCACTCTGGGAAAAATTTATCAAGTGCTACACTTATGATTTGGCCCCTTCTCTGCATTTATATTATACTTCAGTCCAATTTATATTAAAACAAGATGTCTATGCTACCAGTTATCCAAGTGATAGAGTGAACAATGGCTAAAATATGAAGAATGTTTTTACACCTGTGATAACTAAAACTGTCAAAAGCAACGTAGTCTTTCCATAGTTATTGTGAAACACAGGGAAATGCAAAATACAAAGCTGGAGAACTGAAAAAGAATCCTTGCTGAGATCAGGGTCCAAATCATTGGAAAGCAAAGGGAAGGACAGAGCAGGTACCCTGCGTGGCTCATGGGCAGACAGACAGACGACCCTCCCGCTTCGCACTGGGTCTCCACTGTGTGTGCTCCACTGTGAAGCTGCAGTGACCTGAGCATGGAAAGGATTCGGCCCAGAGGACTCACCTGCTATGGCGACCAAGGTCAAAGCCGTATTGGCCCCACCCCTCAACCTGGAACTACCCTGTTAATGAACAGCCTTTCTCTCATTTCAAAATCACCAGTTTCAACCTTTCAGCATTCAATTCGCAACCATTTTACCATATATTCTTCCAAAGGAAGACTCTGGAACACCAGGTGCAGCTGTTTTTAACCTTGGATTAAAAGAAGGCTTTGTATTTAGGAGTCATCACCAGGCTTGTCATTCCAAGCTCTCAATCCACTAATTTAATACTCTCCAATCCTGCAACCCCCACACACTTACACACACACACCAACTCCACTACTTATCTAAGGAAAAGCAGCTTCCTCAAAATAGAACATTTTCCATTAAAGAAATACGTATTCCGTTGACATTTTAAAAAAAAAAAAAAGGAAGTTAGAAAAGGGCCGTACAGTCCATAAATAGTCATGGGAAATTACAGTCGTGTGTGCTACAGAGAAGAAAATAAAGGTCATTCACGCAGTTTCTGAAATGGTTTTGAACCAGGAAGGAAATAAGTTTCAGCACCACAATTTTTTAAAGTATTCTTATGAGTCTACTTCTTTTGGCCCCATTTGTATCATCTGACTTAAATACCCTGCTAAGAATTTCTTCTGAGTAGAATTAGAAAAGATTAAAACGTACTGCTCTAAAACATCTTGGAATGAGGTTGAATGGGAAACTGACAATCTCATTAAAATACAGTTCTCTAGGAAATATGCAGTTACAAACATGTGAAAAGAAAAGAGAAATTAATTCATGAATATTTGCATGTTTTTAGGCCAAAAAGAGGGAAGGTTGTTTTGAAAGGAAAAAAGACTGACTAGTGAATGCGCAGATAGAAAACTGCACATGGGACTTAAAAACACCCTCCCAACATGTGAATGAAGGGGAGAAAGTGATTTCTAAAAAGACTCGTCCTCTCATCTTGTTGAAATTCGCCTGTATTGAAGTAGCTACAAACTCTTCATGGGACACTGGGGGGTGAGGCGGGGAAGGGGGAACCCCACATCCCATCCCTCCAGGAAATGAAACTAAGTTGAGACTATATGGGCTGGGTTCCAAAGGATTTAATTTGAACTGAATAAAGTTCGACTGAATCACCTCGTTAATTAATGGTCAAAGAGCAAGCAATTGGGCTGAAAACAGTTTTGGTGATAATGGTCACGGGAAAATCAAATTCAGTACCTGTCCTCTTAAAAATGAAACCCTTGCCTACGACCTCACAGTGTTTCAGCTGGAGACAGATTAAGCTGGTTTTACAGTCTTGGTGTTGCACTTCCACCAGAAAGAGCAACTACTTTAATTTAGCAATATTTCCTCCAGTATGGATAACAGTTTTACTCAATAAATAAGAGTGTATAACCCTATCCCCTCTGCTTTCAGAACTTCCCCAAAAGCTAAGTTCCTAAAGCACTGAGTTTGGTGTCAACTCAATATGATGTGATATCTTCCTCAAGCTTTTCCATTATAGATTTTTCTAACAACTGTATGAAAGACTTGTTTAAAGTGCCATGGAAGTTGTGTCCATATAACTCTCTTCCCTACGCAACCCTCCTATAATGATTAGAGAAGCAGTCACGTATCCCTGCTTTCTTTTCATGTGCAAAGTGCTCTGTAGAGACCACAGCTCTCTCCTATTTTCCATTTCACTTGATTCTCCTAACATCCTAGAGATGCTCCCCTCATATTTCACAGATGACAGAAACTAAAGCTGAGAAAAGTCTAATTACTTGGCTGTTGTTTAATAGTAATTAGCGGCAGAGCCAGACAGAAAACCCAGATGGCATCAATCTTAAAAGAGTGTACTATTTCCTAACATAATTCTCCAAAATTCAAATGTTAAAAAACAGGTAATAATAAAGCATTTTCCTGAGGACATTCTCCATAGGCCCTCTTCTCCAAAAACGCTGGAGGTCAAGCAGGGCACCTGCCGGGTAGTGTGGAGACCACACGTGCACAGCATTTCAAATTCCCTTCTTGAAATAACCTAATAAATAGAGCATTCAAAAACTTTTCTTAGCAGAAAGTGCAAAAGTCATAGAGAAAAGACACTCATACATGACTCCTGCCCTAAAGCATTTGGAACGTTGCCTACAACAGCAGTGAGACAAATCTACTTCCTCCTCCAGGAGCAATTGCTCTGTTCTTCCTTGGCACATTCTGTCTGCTCTGGCTCATCCAGGTTTGGTTTTGTTTCGTTTTGTTTTTGTTTGTTCTTTAGTAACTCCCTTGAATTTCACAGCCAATTTCTGTCCTTGAAACAAAGCACAGGCTTTGGTAGCTCAACAGATCTACCTATTTGCAGGCATATCAGGCATTCTGCATTTAAATATTTTTTTCTGCAGCTCAGTACTGGAAGTTGTAGTCTGTTAAAAATGCAAAAGGTAAAGACCCTAAGGCCAACAAAACTCTTCGACTTTTAGACAACCCCTGATCTCTGGCCCCCAAATGCACCAGGGGTATCAAACAAAACATTCTAAATCCTTACCATTTGTCTGTACGACACAATACTTTTAACAATTTCGTCTGTCTTCACAAGACCAACAGCTCCCAAAGCAGGGGCTTACAAACTTTTCACTGATGGCAACCAAGAGTACAAAATACATTTTAAATGATTATCCAGTACAGGTGCAATATATATAAATGAAAGAGTTTCACGAAACTATACTTAACCTTACTTATCTTACATGGATATTTTCTATCCCATTTTTTTTAATGCTGGTAGAAACTCATTAAATTAATATATCACTAATCACTTTGCAAAAAGGACCACAATTATTCATTATCTAGCAATATTACCTAATTTTAGGTAGTATTGCTAGATAATGAATTGCAAAGTGAACAAAAAGTGCATACAGTCTAACAGAACTAACACACTGTTATTTTGGAAGGTCTGAAAATCTGCCTGACTTGGGCAATACTGATCTTATAAGCCTACAGAGCAAAGGAACAAAAGCTATAAGATGTAAGAATTATTGAACAAAAACTTGAAAAGAAATAATTGTAACAATTAATATAATTAATTAATTAAGAATTAATTAACATTGATGCAACACCATAAAATTAGAGACTTTATCCCAATTTCAGCAATTATCCCACTGATGTCCTCTGTCTGGCCCAGGATCCAATTTAGGATCCCATATTGTATTTCCTTATTGTGCCTCATTTGTCTCCTCTAATCATTCCTATTTGTCTCAAATGACCTTGATACTCTGGGGAAGACTACTAGATAATTGTTTTGTAGAATGTCTCTCAATTTAGATTTGTTTGATGTTTTATCATCATTAGAATAATGTGATGCACTTTTGGCAAAAATACACAGAAATGATGTCGTGCCCTTCCAGTGTTGTGAGCTCGTTCCAGAGAGGAGATGATTATCAACTTCAGCTCCCAGATATTCTTATTAAGTAGGTCAGGGAAAGGCTTAAAAACATCTATAGAATTAAGAATTCTGATGATTGGCCAAGCTGAGTCAAAAGAGAACTGAGATACAAGCCAGGAACCTGCATGTTTAATAAGTTATCTAGTGGATTCTGAAGACACACTTTGAGAAACACTGTTTTATTCCACTATGACTCTCAAAACATCAGAACTTTGCAAGATTGCTCTCTTCACATAGGAAAAATAGTGTAGGCAACTTAGGTCTTCAAAGTGCTAGAAATATTTGTCTTTGCCAAAAGGCACCAGTTGTCATGGTCAATCAGTCATGCTCTCCCAAATTTTTCTATTCCCTTTTAGTCCCCTTGATATTTACACATGTTCTGTCTGAGTCACCAAAACTTATGGTCTGGGATGTGACTAATACTCTGGAGATATTTAATAATTACCACGTACTTCATTTGCACATACACTCTCCCTGTTCCCACCCCCTGAATACACCTTGTTCTGCTCCAACCAAGAAAACCCTAGGCTCCACCCACAACAGGAACCTGTAACTCTCTTTTAAAGGGTCCATCGTGGCTTTGCTAGACTGACCTCATCAGGAGCAGCTCTCTGACCATGCTATAAGAGTGCTTATGCGAGATGGACGGGCAGTCAGCCATCGCCAAGACTTCAGAAGGAACAGAAGGACGGCAGTGTCTCATCCATCCACTCTGCTGACCCACAGGGAATAGCTACTCCCACTCTTGCCCATCTGTTGACGAAAACTGATTATCTGAAACTCTTTTGGGGATTTCCATCGAGAAAATCCGCAACTCTAAGCAAAAAGGGGTAAGATGAGAGATCTATACTGATAATACCCAGATTAGAATATGTGCCATTGCACCTCACAGAACCAAGCCCCGCCCTGATCATAAGATACAAAATCACAGTCAACTTCTCAGCAAATACGATTCAACGTATTTCACGTGTCTATAGTTTCTGAGCTGCCAGTGAAAAGCAAATCAAAAGGAAGAAAACGCCAAGAATATGGAAAGTAAAGTCAAACTGAAACTGTGTAAGAATTTTCCTAAAATTGGTCTAAAGTTCTCAGAGGAAGATAAGGATATCACTAAAAGTCATCTAATTTAAAGTAGATTCCTGTCTCTTTTCTGGTTACCAAATATCTTCCTGCTACAAGGTAAAGCCGATTAAAATACACCATTCTAAAGCTGTAATATCTCACAGGCAATACTGTGCAACCAAAACCATGACACTGTTTCAGCAGCAAGATTCAGAGCTAATGAAATCTCCCAAGAAAGAGAGTTTAAGTTCAGCCATTCACTGTGCCCACTAACACATGTTTTCTGACAGTTCTCGTGAATTTCCAAGCACAAGTTCTAATTACAGCAAAAACGAAACCATTTTTAACTTATGAAGACTTGTATCCAGACCCTTTCCTCAGTTATATAACCAAACCTAGAACTGGTAACAACAATTTATTACCACCATCACCACCCCACAAAAAAAAAAAAGAAGAAAAGAAAAGAAAAGAAAAAAGGAGTACCTAAATATTTTTTTAAGATTTGTATTATGGTGCAAACTGAACGGACAGAGAATTGAAGCAAAGTTTCATTACTGCCTGAAGTTATTTGCCAAACACACAGCTCTGTGTTACACAACAAAGTGCTGTTCTTCACACCCGGAGCCTAAATTAATACCATCCATATCATTTTCCTTCTCCTTGACCCTCTCAGCTCCACCTTTTATTACAGTTTATTGTGCAGTTATTTTAAACTCTAGCATTAGGCTGTAAGCTCCCTGAAGATGATCCTGAGGGTCAGTCATTTTTCAGTCCCCTGCAGCACCCAGCACAGTGACTTAAACTTAGAAGGTCAGAAAGACACTGGCCATCCTGAACTACGTAAACGAAAACAAATCACAGCTGCGACTACCTGCAAGAAACTTGTCACGAAGACTCTTCTAATATTTCAAACTTCATGTTTTCTTGGTTGACCTGCTCCCACAATGGTCAGTAGCAGCTTATGCCTTCCCCCTAAACTAATGAAACATAATATCTCTACATTTTCCTGAATGTAAATTATGCCTCAGTTAAAATTGTTTTTAAATTTAAGTAGATAAAACCTCAGTTATTTAGGTTTTAGAAAGGGGATAAGTAGAAAAAGTATTAACCCTTATAAGAAGCAGTAAATAGTCTGGTATAGCATAAGGAAGAGAGTCAGTATTTTTATCATAACTTTTTGGTGTGTAATCTATAAAAATATCGAAGCACTAGGTTGAGCAATTTAAACTATTATAATATCGTAAGGCAATTATATTTCAATGAAAAAAACTGGTTTTCTTGTCTTCCAAAAAGTGAAATAATATAAGAATGTTGTTCAAAAAAGATCTCATCGACTTTACCCCACCCTCTTTATAACCCTATCTGCCTGAGAAAATCGAACCTCTTAATCTTTCTGACTCAGTGTCATGACAATAATAAGATCAGCTGCTACACTATGCTGGAGATGTGGCTATTGCATTGCCTGGAAAACAAAGGCACTGGAACATGCCTTCTTGGAAAAGTTTCTTACTTCATTTAGCCTCTTTTGGTCATTTGCTTTTCTCTCCTAAAATAAGAGCAAGATACCTGTTCTTTCTAATTCTCCCAACCCCTTACTCCAGAACCCTCCTGTGCCAGAAATGCATTCAGCATGGCCTTCCCTCCTCCCAAAACCTACAGAGGCTGGCTAATTCCCCCACAACAACCCCTATTTTCCAGAATGCAGTTGGCTCTGAATAGGCCCGCATTTAGATACTATGGGGCTTCTGTCTAAATGCCTTTAGCTCACACTGTAGGCTCAGCTTATTCTGCTCTGCACGATAGCAATGCCCTCTTTCAGTGGCTCAATTCAGGTCCTAAAGTTTCCATCTTGCATGACTAGAAATATTCCAGTTCATAATTCATCCTCTTTCCAACATATGGATTCCATTTAGGAACTATACAAAATAGACAGCACTGGAAAACACGCCAGGGTCACAAAGTCAGCAGTCACACAGCAGGTCTTGACCCCGAGCGTCAGCAGAACCGCCTGTGGGACAATCCTATCACAGCTGCCCCACGCAACTCCTCGCCTGAGCACGCCCGAACGTGAACATGCTCTCCTCTTCGGTGCTACCAGTGTCCTCGGGGACATGTTTTCAGATCTGCCTGACACCAGGGAGACGCAGTGACTGCTCAGTGCCTCCGGAGAATGAAAAACACATACAAGCGTCCCTTTAAAATCAAACCCTCAGAAATGAGTAAAGAATGACTGTTGTCTACGGGAGAGCTCCAGTGCTACTCACCTACTCTGCTAGCCAGGACCTTACCAGACGTGGCCGGATGCAGAAGTGGTTTAACCTCACTCAAAGACTCCTAAAGCCTAAATCCATCAACCTATTGGTTTCCTACAGGTTCTGTGTCGACCCCCCCAGGAAAACAAGTGGATTCACATTATAAAACTGCACCCAAATCCTACAGAATCTGTAACAGCAAGAAGAGCTACCCACAGGCTGTGCACTGTCCTTGGATATGAATGCAAAAAGCAAGAACAATTCTTTAAATGATCGTGAAACATCATTGCTTTAGTCAGGGGAATGACATAGCACCACCAGTCAATTACAACGTGATAATCCCACTTTCTCACAATTCCATTATTTCTCAATAATTATTCCTGTAGGAATTCACTGTAACTTACATTAAGGACAGAGAATAAGTGTTTTTTAAAAAGAGAAAAACATAAGAAAAGAAAAAGGAAAGGAGTTCTGGAAATGCTATCTCGATCTGGGTGATGGTTATGGAGTATACACTGAACAGCATGCTTATTAGGATCTGCACACTTTTTTTGACTGTAAGTTACATCTTGATAAAAAGATATTTTTCAAAAAGGAAAAGGAGAGGAAGAAAAAATGCAAATCCCAGATCAAAGGTAGTATTTATAATTCCTTCAATTTTCCAACTTTCATTAAACAAAGATTTATTAAACATCTTGCTCTATTCCAGACATGGTGCCAGATGCTGAGGATAGCATTACAACTAAGACACAGTCACTGGATTCCCAGAGTTTATAATCTATGAGTGGGGCTAGGTAAGTAAGCGAGAAATTATAAATAATGCAGAGTGTGATGAGTATGATGGCGCCAGTAAGCACTGGGAGCTGGGGACACGTGGCCCCGTACCCAAGTCAGTGTAGGAGAGAGAGTTCCCAGATGCTACTTCACCCATGAAAAAGCACACATGCTGAAATATACCTCAGATTTATTTCTTAAGGCAAAAAGATCCATCATGATTTCTTTCTCTTAGAGAAGCACAGCATTAAACTTCTGTCTTTATCATGAGGGACAGTGTAAGTCAGGTCCTTCAGCTTGTCTCTAAAGCTATGGTCACTCACTAAAAACAAACATGTGCAGACATCAACGTGATTCAGGCCGTAGGCTATGAAGCATTTTAATATCATGCACAAGGGCTCTGAAGCAAGCAAGATGCTCCAAAGTAATTTAACACTCACAGTTACTTTATGTAAAGCTTTCTTTAAAGAAAGTTCTTCTGCACATGGTAACTCTTCACGGAAAAGAGATTTTACTTAATGTTTAAGCCAACCTCCCCCTTAAATCAAAACAATTTCTTTAAATACTTACTGAACAAATTATTTAGAAAAGTCCTGTTAAAAAACAACATAGTTCTGTTCAAAAAGTTCTGTTCTGTTCAGTAAGAACATAGTTTATTTAAACGCAAAGGCAAAACCGTGGTAAAGATAAGAGCAACTGGTAAAAAACAAAATAAAACAAAACAGAACAAAACAAACAAGCGAAAGCAAACTCGACGAAAATCTACCTCTTCACCCAAAGTCATAAATATGTGAAAGCAAGAACAGAGAATCTTACGATAATCAAGCTAAGCCTGCAGCAGCCTGTGCAAGTTTTGACCAAGTAGCAAGCTTCTCATCCTGGGCTTATACCTACACCCTCACAGCACATGCGAATGAGCAACTCCACCCACTTAAGGAATCGAAATCAAGGAAGAGTCTATAGGACACCCCTACACGATGCTGGGAGAAGTGGCTAGCCATAGCATTTTCTTCATAAATCTGGGACAGACTGATGATCCCAAAGTCCGTGCAGATGGTTGCAGGTCATGTAAGATGAGAAGGCTAACTTGGAAGCTTTTACAAGTCGATGAATAACCAAAACAAACAAGTGGCCTTACCTGTCGGCCTTCATCAGAAGGTTGGGCGGCAGCTCCAGGAGCTGGTTGTGCTGCACATCCAACACCTCCACTGACGTTCTTTCCAGCCTTTCAGGAAGCCTTGTCAGCTGGTTGTGTCCTGCCAGCAGTTTCCGGAGACTACTGTTACAAAATAAGCTGTGTAAACAGGTACAAAGACAGAAGGAAACTTACTTAGGGTGCATTTGGGATGAAGATTTAAAAATAAACAGGAGTGGGAGAAGACTTAAAATTATCTTGCCAAGAGACCTAAATTCATTCAGAGAAACTGCAAATTCATTTTAAGCTAAAAGTCGCAGCTGTTTATATTTCAATACTTTCCATACTTAAAAAAAGGAGAGTGGGAAAAGCCATGAAAAGGAATATTTAATGAGAAGGTCTACTTAGCGAAGAAGAACGAGTTTCATAGAAGAAAGCAGCCTGGTCTTGTTAGACTCACAAGGCAAACTGTGAAAGGCTGTGGGCTCCTCAGGGCAGGGCTTATGGTCTGTATCGCCCTGGAACGCAGGGTGTTTTACCCACAGTGGATTCTGAATAAATCCAGTTGAGCAATTTTTACCTACACTAAATAAGGAGTCTTCCATCCAATTAAACTGTTACAAATGCCAACTGAGAAAATATTCATTCTTCCTCAGTTGCATTTCACAATAATTATTTCTCCCTTTCCTTACTTCCCTAAGTCTGTATGTTTTTGTTTTCTCTTTGGTTTAATCCTGTACCAAAGTAGAGAGCCTCTTATAAAGAGAACAGAATGTACTTAAGGCAGTATTTTCTTTTGAGCCTTAAAAGAGCTATTTGGAAGCTTGGCTCTGTTTCTTCTATGGGTTATCAAAACTGCAACAAATGATGAATATTTGTTAATCTAATGTAAATCTGCCTTATGATCACTTGAGACCTCAACATTTGCAGAGAATAAAGCAAATCCTACATTAAACACAGATACTGGGGACTGCGGGAAAGTGAGGTTATAATTTGCATCCAGATCATGTTGGAATGAGAATTCATTTACATGGCTGTCAAACAATGAGGCTTCCTCACTCACCTCCTGTTTCCCACCACTCTGACCTCACTCACTGATGTCCAAAGTTGTTACTGTCACTCTGTACTACAGTGGTAACTTTATTCACTGTAAGTATCAAAACTAGATTCTTTGCTCACAAAGATGCTAGCAACCTGTCTCAACACTGTGACACCATGGGCCACCGTTAAAGATACTTGACATGCCTAACTTCGCAAGTTTAGGTATCAGTGCGGTAAGACAGATCACCCAGGATTGTCATTCAGTCACAATTACCACAAGGGGCATTCTCTGTACTGCTTCCTTCAACCCAGTAATTCAGGTTCACCAATTTTACTCTCCTGCTGGGCATGGGGCACAATTTAGGATTCTCAGAGAGTAAAATGGGGTTATTTACTCCTTTTCTGTACACACACACACACACTCACACACACACACTCACACGCTTTACATTTAAATAGATGGATAACTGAAAGACAGGTAACAAAATCTTTATCTTCATTTTTCTATAAGAAAGTAGATTTGATAACTATAGGATGAGTATTAAATATTAATGACTGGATTTGTTCAATTCTTTTACATGTTAAGCATGAAAATAATTAAAATAGCTTCTTTTCCTTTCAATACATTTCTACTTCTAAATATTAATTTCTGTTTTGTCAAACCCTTTACACACATGACTTAGACTAACAAAGCCTGAATGTGAAATTAACTTCTAATGAATCACTGTCTTGGCCTGGGTATTAGATCCGTGATGGGGCTGATACACAGTTCACAACTAAACAACACTGTGAATGAGAAAACAACACACACTGTTTTTGTCCCATGTGTTAAAAACACACGTACAAAAACAAACACTGTTCAAATTCTTTGACAACAGAGCATTTGGATTTGCTTTGAATAAGCATTTGTTTAGATCTCAAAAAAAGCCTGTACTAATGCAGAGCCAATCAAAGATTAATTAACTTTGGGGAAAACTGGATAAAATATCAGTTATCTTGCGTTTATTTAATTGTTGATTTAAGTACATATTACCAGTGAAACAGACGCTTTAGCTCCAACATGCTGTATCTGTTAAACTAGGGAGATCAGAGTGAGGAAAAGAAAAAGATTTTTCAAAAATTATATTCTCCCCGTTAGTAGTAGCCTGTTTTCATTTTTGCTCTTTGTCTTCTAAAAGGGTCTCTCCCCACTCCCCCATGCTATCCACAGGGCACATCAGCGAAGTCCTTTTGAAAATGGGGATGGGCTGCACTGGGTCACCTAAATGCTCACTGAACAGCAATCTCTAAAGCTGAAAGCATTTTCAAATGGACTGAATTTGCAGGTATAACACATGGCTGAGGAACAAAGTAAAATCAACTGAGCGTTCCAGGGACTGAAAATGTAACTCAGATTTCTTTTGTGAGAGCTATATTCTAACACCCTATTATCCAACAGAAATATCATACAAGCCACATATGTAATTTAGAAAATTTTAGTAGCCACATTTAAAAAAGTGAAAAAAAAGGACAGGCAAATTAATTCTTACAGTACTTTTTATTTGGCCCAATATAGACAAAATTGTAATTTTTAGCATGTCATTTATATACGATATTACTGAGATATTTCATATTCAGTGTGTATTTTATACTTTAGCACTTCTCATTTAGGACTAGGGACATTTTAAGTGCCCAACAGCCCTTTGGCTAATGGCTGCCATACTGGACAGCTGAGCTTTGACATATTTACTAAGCTTACCTAGCATGTGTAATGTAATGTGTAAATTTCATGATCCTTGTCCTTTTCAACAAAGCAGAGAAATACGATCGTAAAACTTTAAAGATCATGCACCTAAAGTAAAAGTTTACTGCAAAATAGTGATATATTTCTATAATATTTTCATTGATGTTTTTGACTACATACGGTTAAAAACAAATGACTTCCTATGTTCAGTGACTGGTTGAGAATGGTGGAAACACCTAGATCTAAGCTGTGGCAGTCACTAGGCACAAGTAGCTGTTAAAATCAATTAAAATTAAACAGTATTTAAAATTCAGTTCCTCAGTCACAGTGTCCACATTTCATGTGCTCACTCAATAGTCACATGTGGCTAGTGGATCAACCATCACAGAAAATTCTATAGGACAGCAGTGGAATAGATTATTCTTTTGGCTAACAATTGCATGGCTAGTCACTAATAACTCAATAACATTTTATGCCACAGTTAGTCAACTTGGAGATATTTGTGTCTACGGACACTACACATCATCACATGGCTATTTTACAAATTTTGCCATTGAAGTGAAGATTATGAAATAAAAATAATAACACATTGAGAGAAGAGAAAGAAAGAGAAGTTCTTGGACCTCCTATCCCAAGAAAAAGAGAATCTAGTTTGCTTTTTCCAGTTTCTGCCTTTTCTGATCTAATAACCTTTTTTCTCTTCCAAAGTTATGTTCAAAGAAAACCAAAAATTACATGTGCGTAAGGTAGACATGTTAAGACAATGGACAGAAGGCAAAGATTCCAAAAGAATTAAGATAATAGAGGTGAACCGATCATATTGTTTGCTGAATCTCTGAATATTTCATTTGTCTTATTTGAAAATTTCCACCAAGCGTCACCCCCGCATGGCTTTGTGAATCTGGCTGGGAGTCAAAGCTCCACTAGCTTGTTACTGCCTGAGGAAAGGGTGCGACTCCAAAGACACCACGAGAGGTAAAAGATACTAAAACAAATTCTTTTAGGGGTTCATAATAAAAAGTTAAACACTGAATCAGCAATTTTTTCCATTGCTCATCTGAGATTCTCTAACTTGATCGGTCATACTCACCATGCAGGAAGTTCACATATTTGATTATGACCAATATCCAAAACTTCTAGCTTTCGGCTTTCACATACCCACTCAGGCACGTTTTCTAAGCGGTTCCTAAATGTAAGAATATACAATTTTTTCTTTGATTGGAATTTGGCCTAAAATGTGGTTCAAAAGTTAAAATAATGACAGAATAAGTAAAACTTCAAATGAAATACCCAATGACAATGGAATTATGTTAAAACTGAGTTTCAATTTAAGTGTGTTGAGATGAGAAAGTCTATCATAATTTCTGTGGGAACTAGAATACATATGACACGCTGCAGTAGCGAATGGGTATAAAAGGTGAGATGGTCAGCCTATTCACAAGTGCGCTAAGAGTGAGCAGGCTGTACGGAAATTCTACTTTGGCCACCTTGGTCACCAAGTTTTAAGGGTTCTTAGCAAGGAGATATATGTACAAAAAGGGGGGGAACATCAAAGAGATGTAGCACAACATTAAAAAAAAAGAAATTAACATCACTTCAGGGAAAGACATGAAGATACAGTTAATATAATTAAGTAAGTGGGGGAGGGTATAGCTCGGTGGTAGAGTGCATACCTAGCATGCATGAGGTCATGGGTTCAATCCCCAGAACCTCCATTTAAACTAACAAACCTAATTACCTCCTCCTTACCCCCCCAAAAAATTAAAGAAGTACTGGACTTTCCAGCCATATGTTCCCTCAACTGACCAGTCTTTCAAGCCCAAACCTGGATCAAACTGGTGTCCGCATCTTCTGGTGTTGTACAGTATACAAATGTAGTACATATTTTAACTGACGGATATTTACATACATTTTCAGAGGGTAAGTAAACAGCATCGGATTTAATTTGTATTATTTACCTTCAAGATATATAAAAAGTTCTTATGCCTAAGTTCAGACAGAATTATCTAAATAATTTTCAAGCAGACCCTAGAGCGCTCTAGGACTTGGCTTCTTACCTTGAAACGTCCATGTAGGACAGATAATTTGGAACTGGGTAAACATCAAGTTGAACAAGTTCTGGGAGGCAGAAAAAACAAAAACATTACCATTCAAGTGAAACAGAGACTCTTTTTGTATGTAGAATATCATTACTGTGCTTTATTCTCCATTGTTTGTTTAGGTTAGTAAGTACAATACATCCATTTGTTCAGCATTGAAACTACAGGAAAGAACAGAGAACTTCTCATTTAATCACAAGATCCTTATTCAGAGACTGAAATAAATCACTGATTCTAATTTCCTGCCTCTTTCCCATCCACTTCCTGTGGCACTCCTCTTGCTATGTGTGCTACATTTTACCTGGAAGATTAACTGTGTGAATACTGTTTTTTGGTTTCTTAACATTCAGGATTGCTTCCATAAAACCAAGTGCACCCTGGCTCCTGCCTTTTTCACTCTACTGCAACACCACTCCTGAGGGTTACCAATGACTTCCTCTACTCAAATCTGAAAGCCCTTCCTCAAAACTGTATGAAATATCAGTATGAAACACCAATGTCCACCTAGGGCTTTGCTTTTCAGATAGAGTAGTTTCGAAATATCCCTCTGCTTCTCAAAACACTTACCAAGTAATTCACAGGTTCACCCTCTACCTGGTTGCCCCAGCTAACCGTGAGGGTTTTAGAAGTCTAGTTTTGGCACCACGTCTCTTCTCTTTTCCAGTTATCTTACTGCCACAGTTTCGGGTACCACCTCTGGGCAAAACGTCTTACATCAACATCTGGAGTCCTGACTGTAAACTCCTACTAGCTCACACGGACACCACTGCAATAACCTGGATTAGTGCAGGAGTGGATTACTCTACTCTTCTCCCATCAATGCACTCTGCACACTACTCTGATGTTAACAGTCTGATAGCATCACTTCCATCACACACCTCCTCCACATAAGAATCTCCACTGGTTCTCTACAGCTTACTGTACGAGCTTCAAAGCTTTGCCGTCTGACTCCAAGCCTTGCATTCCGTAAGCACTTCTTTACCACTTCCCAGCAGCACCTATGAGTTCGGAATTCCCTGTCTTCTCCCAGTCTGCTGAATAAACCACATTCAGATTCGTTCCTCTTCAGCACTCACTTTATGCCTCCTGGCTATCCAAATCCTACAACCCTTCAATGACCTATAGCTATCTGAGGTTTGGTTTATTTCTCCAGTGAGAGAATGTAAACTCATTAAAAAAGAAGAAAAAAAGAAAAATCCCTATCCTTTAGAACTCATGCACTACACTATGCATAAAACAGGTGCTTGATAAGCATTTGTTCAGCTTGTAAAGAGTTGTTTCCATTTGTTGTCTAATGGCAGGGAATTGAAATCTTCACTTCAGCAAGCACATGCTCAAATTTCCAAATTTTAAGGAGGAGAGCTTATTAAACGAGCAAGATTCTTGCTCTGTGGTGTCCCTGTGGGTATGTAATTTATGTTTCTCTTAAGGTGGAGTTTCTTTGTTGGTGGAGCATGAAACCTGAGACCCTGGATGGAGTCCATAACAGACCGTCTTTTCACTTTCGCTCTCCAGATTTACTGTCTTAACAAAGTAGCCCAATAAATAGTTCAGCCCCTGCCCATCCCTCATCTGCCCTTCAAGCAGAAGAGCCAAATCACAAGTGGGAGTAACTTATCTAAACATCCCGATATGAGAAAACAAGTTAGGAACTTAAAAAACCTTCCATTTTGACTCCTTTAAATATCAAACCAGCATTCTTCTTTGATGATTTTTATCTTAGCAAAATTTGACACTTATTTTACTAATTGAGGAAAGAAAAATCAAAGTGTAGCAGAGATGATGGCACTGAGTAAATTCTTAGAACCAAAAGAGAAACTCTGATGTGGTCTGTGTTACATACCATTAGAAGAGGCATAGAGTGCTTTTAGGAAATAGCCACAGATGTTTAACGTCACCAGTTGATTCCTTTCACAGTGTAAAACCTCAATGTTGTTGAAAACCATCGCATCTAGATCACCAAGCTTATTGTCGCGCAGATCAAGCTGAGTGACGTGAGGAAGAAAGTCCACTTCATCTGCTATTAGCTTCCTAATTGTGTTCAGTCTTGAGAGGAAAAGGACACAAGTAGAGACTATAATTAACCGCAATGCTATAAATAAAAAGCCACACCCTAATATGGTGACTCACGAGTCTCACTATATCACAGTTCTCCATGATTTCTTTAATCTCAGTGTCTGGCCTTCCTTGAAACTGTGCAGATTCTCTGGCTATTTCTAGCTACAATTCCATAAGGTCTTACCCTTGACAATATTTCCTGAAACACAATTTAGATCATTAAGGCTAGAAGAGAAGCATGCATATTGATTTACCTTAGTTCATTTCAAGGGGAAAAAAAATTTCACTTAAACACTTATTTCCAAGGTCTGGTTGAAAGAACACAAGAAACAAAACCCAGAATAACCATTAAGCACATTACAACTACACTGAATACTTAAGGGAAGAGAGAAGATGAGTGAGCAGGCAGATGAGCAGCCCTAAAGACAGAATTAATGGGTGAACTCGGGGAAAAAAAAATGAATGGGAGCCACATATGCATCAGAGTTAGGTATGCAAATATATCTGGATTTTCAGCTGGCTCAGGGAGTAATTACCAAAACTATCTTCACCTTTAAAATATTGCCTGAGAGAAGAGGGTACAGCTCAGTGGTAGAGCACATGCTTAACATGCACCAGGTCTGGGTTTCAATCCTCAGTATTTTCATTAAAAAAAATATATATATCTATAAATATATACACATTAAAATATATATATATAATATGCACACAAATATATACTTATAAAAACATATTTTATACATATAAAAGTATGTGTATATATTGTCTTTATATAGTGTGTGTGTGTGTGTGTGTGTGTGTGTGTGTATGAAGAGTAAAATGCAGAAAATACTGAAATTTGGCATCCAGGATTTACTGAGAAATCATAAAACAAAGAACAACAATAGGGATCAACAAGTTCAGGGCAGAGCAGGACTCAGGGAAAAACTGGCAGAACCTCAGACACGAGAACTGGTTAGCTAATGGACTGAAGTTGCCGCGAATGAGCTGCCAAGAAGATAAGTAAGTAGTAATGAGGACGAGGAATCAATGTAACAAAAACACATCTCACTTCCAAGAGGAGAAAAACAGCTGAAAATCTCAATTCCTTAAAGTTAGCTAGGCTACGCCCAACTCCTTTGCAAACAAACCACCAACCAACAAGAACCTTCTACTTCACTTTACAAAGCCAAGAAAGTGCTGAGATCATGCACTTGGTAGAAGAGCATGACTATGAAGGCTGGAGCTTAGAAAAAAGCCCACTGTTCTCTGTAGTGATTTTTCTGCGCTTTGAAAAAATAAAATAAAATGAGGCTAACTAAATTTGCAATAGCAATATCATAAAGTCACTGAAACACAAGGGCGAGTGACAGCCAAGAGCTAGGATTTGTCAATCTGCAAGAATGGCATATGGCCTCTTCAAATGTCCCCAAGAGGATTTTTTTGTCAGCTCTTTTTTGATTCCAGGTTGTATTAGAAAACTGGACACAAACCTACAATTTGCCTATTTCCAAATGTTCACAGAGTATTAGAATATGTACACAGAATTTTTTAAAAATCTCACTTTGGATACAAGAGACCACAGGATTTGAAAAGATGTTTCATGTTTCCCCTGATCTATACATTAAGTTGTCTTCATGTGGCACCATCATCTCCCCCATTGTATTAACACAAGCATAATTCAAGTCTTATGAGGAGACAAAATAAAATCTGTAAGGAGAGGAAGGTTATTCCCACTGTTCACTTTAAATTGCCAAGTCTTATCAGGATGCAAATATCAAAAGTTTTCAGGCTCACTGATAATACAACTATTTGGGATAAACTTTTAAAGAGGCAAAATGTGGTTAAAATTTCCTTCCAATAATCTCCTCAGTCAACACAGGCATTTTATTTATTTTATAAACACTCATTGAGCATTTACTATGTGTAGCTAGATAGCGTGACAATGTTCTAGTTCCAGTTTGCTACTCAACATTTTGCATTCATGACCTTGAGCAAGTCACCTAAGTCTCTGTTAAGTCTAACCTTAACCTGTAAAATGGAGATGGCACCTTCCCTGTCCTACGAGGCAGCTGAGAAAATAAAATGGAAGTACATGCTCATGCTTTGCAAACAAGAAAGGGCCACAGTGATGCGGATGATGGTGACCTATGGCCTTGTGTCAGTAAGAGACAAATAAAACAAGGTGTTTGTCAACAGATGTAGTGATTTAGTGAGGAAAACCACATGTGCTTTGACATATGAAGAATGAAGATGTAAGTACATGATAAATGATATATAAAATTACAGAGGGTGGTCAAAAAAGATGCTATGAAGAGGAAGCATCTCATCTGAATCCCAAGGGGAGACAGAATTCCATAGATGTAAATGGGAGAAGAAAGCAGTCCATAGCGAAGAGCAGAATGGCCTTTGGACTGAAGAGAGAGCACAGGGTGAGTTTCACACATGAGTGCAGGGTGTGCGAGGAGAGTGAGAATACGGCTACGAAGGTGGGTTGGTCAGCTAATACTTACCAAAAACTGTGCCTACTAAGTGCTAACACTGGGGGGCTCAAGAATAAATAAGACCAGTGCTTTTCAAATTATCTAGGGAGAAGGACCTATTTTCTAAACTTCTCATCCACTAGAGACTGATATGTAGTCACATGCACACGACCAGGACACAAGTCAGTGCACAGGTGGCTCACCACTGTGAGTTCACCAACACCTAAATCAGTTATTCCCTGTACAACCAGTCTGTTTACATGAGTCTACTTGGACATTGGGGCAATGTCAATATAGTGATATGTTTCTATGAAATTAAGTTTCAATTTCTGTGCATATCGCATTGTGGAAAAGTAGCAAATACTTGGCTTGTCGGCACAGGTCGGAGGACCACCACACTTTGAGCAGCTCTGAGCTGGAGTCTCATCCTCAAGGGACTCATAGGTTAGTGGGTTGAAACCAGATATGAGAGCTTGAATATCCTGAACTAGAGGACTGAAGGCTCTAAGCAAGACTGTGTACCATGGAAGGAGCCAGCTCAGTGAGGGGACAACCGCAGCAGTGAGACGGAAAAGGGATGGACAAAGTGCACCTGCTGTGACAGAAGAACTGATAGAATCTGCTGGTGGATGAGAAACAGAGCCAAAAGTTTTGTGTCTGGATAACCAATGAAGTGGAGTTGCTATCAGTAAAAACAGGAATCCAGGGGAAAGAACTGGCTGAATAAAGAAAGAAGCTGAACTCTGTTCCACATGCAATTTGATTGAGTGTCAGTAGGGGAAAGCAAGGTGAAATTATCCCGCTGGCAGCCGAAGTGGAATTAATCCCTAGAAGAGAAATAAGGGTTAGAGAAATACCGAGGAGTATTTAACATGGTAACGTGAACGGTAAATGATGGAGACCGGTGAGTACAGGCAGCCAACCACCACAGCAGAAAACAGAAAAGAGAAGTGCTCCAGGAGACAGACGTGGGTAATGTCTGTATTTTAGACAGAGAAGAGGAGGAGGGATTAATAATGATGCATAGAATAAATAGCATCAGCCTCAAAGAACATCAATATAAGAAAAAGAATAAGATTAAAAGAAAAATTATTATTTTTAATATGAGGTAGTATTTCCATCTGAAGGAACAATAAATTTAATCAATAAAATTAGCCCTCTGCTTACAGAATCTAAGTGAAACTCCCCTTAAATCATTCCACTGGCTTCAATTTAAAATATTAAGGCAGAATCATACGCAAACCTGACCAGATCCCCTCTCCCAGCGACCCCACCGCTCCTCAGCTCAGCTCAGCGGTCTGGAGGAAAGCAGCTATTTACTCTTGGTCATTTAACATTTACAGAATCCAAAGTCTATGCTGTAACTGATCTCATCTAAAAAGACCCAGTTAGAACTAGAAATCTGAAGAATTTATAAAGCTCTTAATAAGAACAGTTACTTCCAGACAGCTTAGATTGATCTCGCTTGCAAGCTAATTCAGACCAAGAAAAACGATGCCTGTCATACGTACCTGGTAACCCAGAACGCCTCTCGGGCTTGTTACGTGAGGTCAATACGACCATCGTTACACCTCTGGGTGGCTGAATTAAAAAGGGCTTAAATTCTTGAATATGAAGTTTTTTTAAATCCAGTGACTCAGAGGCAAATAATGTTAACAATTTAGAAAGAAGGTTAACAAGACAAAGTGTTCAGTTCCCTATCCTGTAACATTCCAAAAAGTTCTCAAAGTCAGATAAATTATTACCATTTATACTCCCTGAGTTAAGGATCCTAAGTCTGCAAATTGCTAATACTTCCCCAGGTGCCTGATCCCGTTAGTCTCAGGAAAGGTAAAGCCAACCAATTCTCTGTGGGACTGGAATGAACGGGTTTCCTGGGCCAAACCACAAGAATGGAGAAGAAAGGGGAGCAAAAGGAGATGCTACTTTATACTGATGAAGTTGACAGGCTGGAGTGAGGGTCTGGGGTTATCGTCAGAAAGGAAATTGGGTAGTAAAGCAAGGAAAGAAAGCATCTTTGACAAACATTAAATATCTCACCCAAGATTTAATGTGGTCATTCCCTGGCTAACGTGGAGTTGGTTTGGTTGAAAAAGTATCAAATTGGGCAAGTTAATATTAAGGCCTAAGCCTGATACGTTGCTTTGCAGGAACTCTTTTTTTTTTTCCATAAAAAAGAGAAATTTAGAATGGCTTCTTCCTTGTGTACTGGTTCTTTCCGCATTGAAATTAAAACTGAACTTTACATACTAATGGATGATTACTAGACACCTGTGATGTAGCAAAGATTGTGTTAACAGTTTTCAGTTGAGATTTGGTATGATCAGGATTCAAACTTGCAAGGAGTGAGAGCAGAGATGCCACTCAAACTTGGGCCTAACAAGAGATTATGTGTTTTTATATTTTTGTAAAGACCAGTAAACTAAGAGCCAAGGCATCTGGATGGAGAGCGAGGAAATTAAAATAAATAAGTTAAATAAATAATTATTAGTTTAATGAATACATTACATTAAGCTAGGGAAGCCAAGGAAGGAAAAAAAACATTAAGGAAGGAGAGATGATCAATGTCAACTGCATCAAGCCACGGAAAAGGATGACGAAGAGAGAAAAAGATCCACTTTGCTCTCAATGATACGGTTTTCATTCACCATGAACAGCTCTCTCTGACTCAATGGCCCTATTGATTCATGCTAATTAAAACTGGGCTCAGTCTTGCAAAATCAAGTAAGACCTTCAAGATACATGGTCATTTATCAATGAGAAGTTTTTTGTTTTTGTTTTTTAAAATAAGTTTCTGGTATGAGCATACCCTACTGTTGATCATTATTCCTGCTGGGCAAAAACACAAAAGTGGGCCCTAACTGCAACTAACCAGCCTGCTTGCCTTGACATAAGAATGCCGCCAAAAGAACTATAACCTACCGCCAAATATAACCCAACCACTCAAATGGGATATATTTCTTTAAAATGGTTACCTTAGGTCCACATGTTTCATGTGAGGCATTTTTCTTAAAGCCTGTAGCCTAAGAGTCTCCATACAGTTTCCAGACATACAAAGCTTATCCACAGCAGTCAATTTCTCCAACACTTCTGGAATGTCAGTGAACTCATTGAAAGAAAGACCAAGATAACTAAGCTGATGCATGTTCTCCAACTCAGCAGGAAGGGTCTGGAGAAAGTTTCCATCCAACAAGAATGTCTGTAAGCTATGGAAGAAAACATAAGAATTATAAAGAGAATGTGTAAATTTTACATCTTTATTATTAACATACAAGTTTCATAAGTATAGACTGTATCACTAAAAAAAAAAAAAAGAAAATATACTATTCTTCGTGAAATGCTAAGGGCAGGGCCTGAGGCAATAATACACCAGAGAGAAAAGATCAGAGATAAGCATCTTAATCTTTTATTGAAAACAAAAATTATGACCAATCTTCCCAACTCGGATAGGCATAAATAGGAACACCATGAGCTGACTGCTATGTGAATCCTCCAAAACACTCATCTCTCATTGTTATTTTAAAAAATTAACCTGTAAGTCTTAGAATTCAGCAATAACTTAGAAAATAAGAAAGCAACCCCTCCTCCCACATTTAGGCACCCTCATGTAGGGATCTTCAGTTCTAAACAAGGATATTTTCTTTCTTTTTTTTTTTTTTTCCTTAACAAGATTCTAAAAAGCACAGAAGCTAACAAATGAGCTCTACACAGGAACCTGATCTCTTGATTTGGGGCCTTGCCTGACCAAATAATAAGGTAACTAATCTCACGTGCTACGACCCCAGCATAGCTTCCTGGGGGTTTCTGAGGGATACTCTGCAGTGGGGTTGGCAGTACGTACTTGTGCATAACTCCGACGGCTGCTGGGACTGCTCGGAGGGCATTGCAGGACACATTCAGCTCGGCCAGGGTTGGAATATTGCAGACTGCTAATGGGAAGTCCCCTAAATGATTATTGGAAAGGTTAAGACTCTTCAACTTGGTGAACCTATTCCAGTAAAACAAAACAAAAGGAAAGAAAAGACAAATGTCATAGATGTATAACATCACATGCTTTTGGCTTTTGGCACAGCCTTAGAGATAATCTAGCCCAGCTCTCAGTCAGCTGGGCAGGAAACGGAGCCCTCAGAGGCTAAGTGAGCAGCAGAGCTGGGTGCACATCTTCAGACTCTAAGGCCAGTGTTTTACCTAAAATACAAACATTATATTTAAAAACGAATGTTACTCTAAAATAAAGTCGAATACGTAAGGAGGTGAGTTTGCCAGAGTGCGTTTCTTAGCCCTGCCTCGCCAGCTTAATGAACACACGTGTGAGCGGAAACAGAGAGGGCAGAAAAGGACAGGTGTAACTCCTCTGGATTTGTTTTATCCCAGACAAGTCAAAATGTTTCTATTTCACTTCCCTCAAACCCAAACCTGAAATGATTTTAAAAACTTCAATTTATCAAAACCATATTCTCTAAGGTAACCAGTTTCAGAGTTCCAAATTTAAGAACCAGTTATCATTCCTCAATCTCAATCCAACACTTGATCTTGCTCATTACACTCCCTTCTTTGAGAAGCTCTTTTCAAACCCACCCTAAGGCCATTTTCCTCACCAGGCCTCCTCCTAGCTCTCTCCAAACCCTTTCTCCCATGTTTCCTTCTTTTTCCTTGTTGGTCTCCTCCTGCCCTCCCCTCCTCCCTCCCCTAGTTAGGTGTTCCTCACAGACTAGTTACTTGTCAGTTTCTTTTCTCTCTTCACATCGCCTTCCTCAGAAATCATTTCCCTGCTCTGTGAACAACTCTCTCCAAGTCATCACACACCATTTCCTCTCTCTTGACCTATCCTACAACATTTCTAGTCCGAAACTGAACTTACCATCTTTATTCCAGACCAGCACTTCCTCTTGTTCTATTTTTGTTAATGGCTCTTTCATTTTCTCAGTTGTCTAAGCAATTAAAGCAATTCAAGAACTCATCTTTAAGTCTGAATGCACTTCTCTGTATGCTCTTACATTTGGCCCACTGCCAGCCTCTACACTTCTATGTGAGATGAGAATCAGATTGGTTGTTGCATTACGCTAATTATTTTTAAAACTGCCCAAGCCTAAAAACTAGGCAATGTGCACTATCCCTACAACAGACACACACGCATCTTAAAAATGAACTCAATTCTATCCAATCAGTATTTTAAAGAAACTGTCATGTGACTTCTTTGTGGAATTCTATAATAAAAAATGTAAAGCTTTGTTCTAAATAGCTATATAGATTTTATTCCAAATAGAAAGCTGACAACGTGCCTTTTTGACAGGTTGATTGCTGTTTTCTTGGGTGACGGAGTATAGACTTAATAGAATTTTAAGTTAGAAGCAGAGCAAAATTTAAGAATTACTATGAAACCTGAATAATCATTTTAAAATTTATTTCATACTTTACCATTTGATTCATTAGTCCTTCTTAAAATAAAGAATGCTTATCCTCTCTTCTGATCATCTATGATCTATCCAACACAAGCTGGAATCATAGGGTCTATTATTCCTAGCTCAGGGGTTCTCAAAGCATGGTTGGGGGACCCTGGAAGAGGTCCCTGAGAACTTTTCAGGAGATTCTCAAGGTCAAGACTATTTTTATAACAAAACTACAATACATTTGCCTTTTGCTACTCTCATTTTCTCCCAAGTAGAGATTTCCAGATGGTATATGTCATTGTGATAGCACATCTGATGGGAAGCAAAAACGGACATGAGAATCCAACTATCTTCTATGAAGCCAGGCATTAAAAGATTTGCAAAAAACTGAAAACAGTAACATTCTTTTCCCTTTGTTTTGTTTTAGAAGGTAGTTATTTTTCATAAAAAATACATTTGTTAACAAGAAGGGGGTTTATTATTTTTCTAAATGAATTATTATGCATTAAAATAATTCTCAGTTTAAATTTCTAATACAGTAAATATCAATAGTTTAATTCACACAAATAAAAGCTACTTAGGGTCCTCAATTTTTGAGAGGGTAAAAGGATTGCCTGATAAAATACAGGACATCCAGTTAAATTTGTATTTCAGATAAACAACAAATAATTTTTTAGTATAAGTATGTCTCAAATATTGCATGGTACATACTTACACTAAAAAAAATACATATATATATATATTTTCTTTGTTTTTCTGAGATTCAAATTTAACTACATTTTTTTCCCCTTCTAAATATGGTAATTGTATTCTGAAATAGACAAAATTGCTGTTCCAGTCCAAACAAAAACAGTATCCTACTTTCTGGATTTGTTTCCTCATTTGGTAGAAATGGCGACAATTTTAAAATATGCATGCAATTAAACTGAACTTAAAAAAAAATTCCTCTAGGAAGGAAAAAGACCCTAGACATACAACACAATATAGCACAAAGACTTCAGAAAGTGGAAAATGGAAGGATTATAATTTCAGTGATTACTCAAAATGG